TTGACATGCAGCAAACTTGAAAATGTATTTTACACAGCTTCCAAAAGAACTTGAACACATTCAAACCCAAACCAATTTCACAAAACAATGCATAAGTAATATTATATTCAAACAATATTTTGTTAAATATTTATTGTATATAATTTGAATAAAACACAAAATCCACAGTGATTGCATGATCTTAAAAAAAAAAGGAAAATAACAGTGATTGCATGATCTTAAAAATAACAGTATCAATGTATTTCAAAAATAACTAAAACACAAACAACAGTATATTTGAATATTCATTTTTTTTAATCCTTAATTATTATTGTGCAGCATTTTTCCAACATGGCTGGCTGGGCTCTTATTGGCTGGGGTCCCATGTCTTATGGGGCCCCAGTTGGAAGAAGCTCTCAACCCATGGCTTCTGACACTGGCTGCACCTCTGGTATTGTTGGTTCCTTGTCTTTGGCAAGTACAGCCATGATGGGCAACCTGGTGTGGCACATTGGAGGGACCACCAAGTGGGGTCATCAGCAATGTACTTGGTCAAGTCCATCACTGCTGGTGGCCCTGGTGCCCAATTGTTTGCATGGTACTGGTAGTTGGCATCCATGTTGGTTGTAGTGCCACTGCCCATCTGGTTTTGTGCTGCTGGTGTGTCCACAGAATTTCCCATGGCTGCAGTAAAGATTGTATGGGTCTCTGGCTGCAAGTCTGAGCACTGGAATGACTATGAAGGACTCAGAAAAAATCACCATGGAACTGGCATGAATTTGGAAGTGCAATGAAACCACATCAGCAGTTGCCAAGTATGAAATCTGGAAACACTGGAATCATGGTGATGCCAATGGCTTTGAGTCCATGATATTTGCATATATCAGAAATTGTTTGGCATGGTATGGGAAGCCATGGATGGCTTGTGGCTTTCAGTTGTGAAACAAATGGTAAAACAATCCAATATCATGGTTTGGATGCCAAAAAACATGGGATGCCATGATGGCTTTCACCACTGCCCATCCCAGTTCACCCCAGGACCACATGTTTTTGGCACACACAGGTTGCAATGTCAAGGTCTGGCACTGGTGCTGGCCATACATGGCTGGTGCTGGCCATCCTATGGCTGTGGTGTAGCCATTCCATGGCACTAGCTGGCAAAACCAATATGGTATGGTACAGGCCCCTCACTTGTTGGCTGCCTTCATGGCCTTGGACTTCATGGTATCCTTGGCCTTCATGGCCCCAATGGCCTTCATCACCTTCATGGCCTTGATGGGCTTCATGGCCTTCATGGCTGCATTGGGGTTGGTATCCTTCTTCTGGGTCCCCTGGATCTCCTTGGCTTTCTGGGCTTTCATGGCCATCTTGTTCTTGGGCAAGTCCCTCCACAGCATGGAACCTCCTTGGTTGAAGCTCTGGATCCAAGGTTGCCCACAGATGGTACAGCTGGCATGGAAGCCAACTTTCCTCTGGAACACCCATGACCCACAGCCTGGGTTGGTGCAATGGAGCACCATATCCCAAGTAAGGAGGCGCTCTGGTGCTGGTTCCTCTTGGACAGCACCAGCTGGCTTCTTCATGGCATTGTTGGATTTCATTGTCTTCATGGTGGCTTTCTTCATGGTCTTCATGGCCTTCATGGAAACCTTGCTGGGAGCCATGGCTGGTCTGGGCAGAGAAGAAAGCACCTATTGGTGGTCGCGCAGGCAAGCTTGGGGCTTTTCAATGGCTTCCAAACAGTAAAAGCCCATGGCCACATGCAAACTATATGAAACACATGGTTTGTGTTTTGGTTTTCATGGGTGTTCAAATGGTTCATGATATGTTTATATATATATGTAAAAAGTGATCATGCATGGCCATGTATATGTTGGTTTCATGAAAAAAACAAATTGTTTTTCACCATTGTGTTAAAATGTAACATGGGATGCCACAAAGGCTTTATGGGAAGCCATGAGGCTTTTGCATACTGGCTTTGGGCATGGCATGGGTGGCCATGATGGCATTTGCAAGACTGTCATGGCACTGTAGCCCTGCAGCTTTTTTGGACACCACATATGGTCATGGCTGAGCTCTTTGGCAAGGTGTTGGGCACATTGCACTTTGGCATGTCTGGCTTCAGGGCCTGGCAGAGCACCACATGGCTGGTCACTAATATGGGCAGCCAATAGGCTTTTACAAAAACAATTATGGTCAACCAATGGTAAACCAGATCTTGGAAACACATGGGGGGAACCAACTGGCTATATATATATATATATATATATGTATGTATGTATGTATATGTCTGTACATGTATGTCTATATATATATATATTGTGTATGTAAATTTGATGATATATATATATATATATATCAAAACCATATGCCCAATTAAATGCCAATGTGAATATATGAATACATATCATATTATATATATATATACATAGTATATTCCTATTTTCATAGGTCTCATGTTTGAGGAACATGCAGAAGGATTGGAAATCAACTGATGGCCTTTGGTGTTCTCCTCCAAAAGCAGTGTGGTACATTATGTGGTCTTCCTCTTGGCCAATCTCTTCCATCCATGGGTAGTAGTTCCTGCAGGAATCAACACCATATATGGTCAACAAAGTGGTAGCAAACATTTAGCTAGCAGAAGCATGTGTTGCATGGTGCAAAATGGCCTCTGGACAATGGTCTGGTTGTTGACCACTAGCTGGGTGTATCTCCATGGCCTCTGGTCTCAGCTGGCCACCACCCTTGGGTCCATCTGGGATTTGGCTAGCCTCACAGGAGCAGTGGATGGATTGAAACTTTGTTTGGTTGCAAAAAAACATGGTTCCACATTTGTGCCAAGCAACCAAGTTTGCCAACCATTGGCCCAAACCAGGACTCTGTACCTCCTGGTGTCAAAGACCCTTTCTATCCTATGTTTGCATGGTACCCTGGTGTTACCTCTATTCATGGCTTGGGCCTTGGCTGCAGCAACAAAACAAATGCTACTTGCACAAGCACATGCCTGCCATGTCCCATACATGGGTTGCAAAAAGGCTTTTGATATGAACTGTGAAACACTGTTTGCTGACATTTTGCCACATATTTGGTGCCATTCATGATGGGAAACATTTTTTTCAGCTGCAAATGGATGCCTGGAAGCTATTCTATGTGGCCTTTCTTTTCTTGCCCTGTGACTTAGCTTTGGCCTTTGCCTCAGCTTGGCCATCCTCACCACTGCCAGGCAGGAGATGGAACAATGGCTGGTCCTTCTCAATGGGCGCCTCATTGGTCAGAATTGGAATCTTGATGGTGTCAATGGTGGCAAAGACTGTCCTTGGGCTGAATGGTCATCTTCTGGGCCCAGCAGTTGCTTTCCAATATGGTCAGCACCTTTTCTTTTTTTGTGGTAAATGCCACCTGTGCCACATGGTGGCTTGGACCTCTTCAACCACTTGCTGGGACACTGCAGCCATGGCAATTGCAGCTCAATGGCAGAAAGAATTGACTGGCATGGCCCTGAGCATATGAATGGACCATAGGGAAAATTTATGTGAAAGAAATATGCACATGTTTCTTTTCATGGGAAGTCATTTGCCTGGCTTTGGAACATGAATGGCAAACTGAGAGCTTCACCTATGCTGGCAGCAAACTGAATGCATGGGTAGCCATAAAGGCTTTGGCTGCAGCTCTTTCTTCCCATTTCCTCACAAACAAAATTCACTTATACAGTAATTGGCATGCTACAAGCTGCCTCACTTTGTGGTCTTGTGGGATCTGGTAGGCTGCTCCAAAGCAGTGGCAGTGCTTGGCCTCAAGTGGCAAATCACTGGGTCCAAGTGGTCTGGCTCCAGCAGAACTGCAAGGTCAGATCTGGCTGGCCTCTTGCCAGATACCAAGCAATCCACAAGTTGGTCACCCACAGTGATGGTCACCACACTTGGTGATGGTGCAGCAATCCTTTGTTTCTTGGCTGGTGGATCTGCTTCCTGCTGGTCAAGCAAACTATTGCCATGGTTACCTGGATCTTCACAGTGGACTTTCTTGATCTCTTGGTTTCTGGCTTCAATGTGTTGTCTCAATGGCTCCAGCTGTGGCAAACTGGCATTCCTCTTTGGCTGCCCACCATGGAGAAGGCAAATGATTGGCTGGGATGTTGGTCTCACTTTGAGATACTTCTGACCTTCATGGTGCAAAATGATGCTATGTGGGGTGAGCACTGGCTTCTCCTCTTGGCAGTGAATTGCAATGGCTTCCTTGATGGAGACCATGGCTGAACCAGTTGTATATAGGATGGCAGGAGATTGGCACACCAATTGGTTTGAACAACTTGGCTGTCTCAAAGAAAAATAATGCAGTGCATGGCATGGGAAGCCAATAAGCTTTCGATTTGTTTGCCATGATGTTGCCCCTATGCATTTCATTGTTGTTTGAAAGAAAAAAAGCAAGAAAAAACATTCTGTGAAAATCAGAACTTGCTACCAAACATAAAGAACCTTTCCACATAAATCAATTATATCACGTTTTTTTCTAAATTATTTTCCTTTTGCTTCAAAGTTTGTTGCAGTCTAGGTGAAAAGTTTACTTTCTCCACACCATATTTTTGATATGGCTAACTCTGCTAACTTTGCTAAATATTTAGGGAAGTTAAGTTGAGTTAGCTAAATAAATAAAAATGATACTAACTTATGTTAACTTAACATAAAACTTATACTTAGTTGTACATAGTTAAAACATAGTTAACACATAGTTAACACATAGTTAACACATAGTTAGAAGTAGTTATTAACAATGATTAACTAGCATAACTTCCATAACTAGTTATAACAAAACCAGGATTTCAAGTAGGAAATGTTTGGACATCTTTGCGCGCAAGGTTAAGTTCGTCGGAGTTTGTCGGGCTTAAAGTTTTACAGACTGCGTAAAGATCTTTACCAAAAGTGTCACGAATATTCTTTCCAAGGCCAGATTGAAACTGGAAATTCTTATTGTTCTGCTGGTCCACCTGGTTCAGTCTTATGCATTTCGGCAGACCTTATTCCCTACGAACCCGCAAGCTCGCGAAAAAACCCATTCCTTTTCCTTCCTTCCTTTTCCTTCCTTCCTTTTCCTTCCTTCCTTTTCCTTCCTTCCTTTTCCTTCCTTCCTTTTCCTTCCTTCCTTTTCCTTCCTTCCTTTTCCTTCCTTCCTTTTCCGTCCTTCCTTTTCCTTCCTTCCTTTTCCTTCCTTCCTTTTTTCCTTCCTTCCTTTTCCTTCCTTCCTTTTCCTTCCTTCCTTTTCCTTCCTTCCTTTTCCTTCCTTCCTTTTCCTTCCTTCCTTTTCCTTCCTTCCTTTTCCTTCCTTCCTTTTCCTTCCTTCCTTTTCCTTCCTTCCCCTTCCTTCCTTCCCCTTCCTTCCTTCCCCTTCCTTCCCCTTCCTTCCCCTTCCTTCCCCTTCCTTCCTTCCTTCCCCTTCCTTCCTTCCTTCCTTCCTTCCTTCCTCCCTTGCTTCCTTGCTTCCTTGCTTCCTTGCTTCCTTGCTTCCTTGCTATCTTGCTTCCTTGCTTCCTTGCTTCCTTGCTTCCTTGCTTCCTTGCTTCCTTGCTTCCTTGCTTCCTTGCTTCCTTGCTTCCTTGCTTCCTTGCTTCCTTGCTTCCTTGCTTCCTTGCTTCCTTGCTTCCTTGCTTCCTTGCTTCCTTCCTTCCTTGCTTCCTTCCTTCCTTGCTTCCTTGCTTCCTTGCTTCCTTGCTTCCTTGCTTCCTTGCTTCCTTCCTTCCTTCCTTCCTTCCTTCGTTCCTTCCTTCCTTCCTTCCTTCCTTCCTTCCTTCCAACACATCTCCGTCGACCACTCAGTCTCGCTCCCCCGCGGCGAGTGCAACTAAACGAGAACCCAAGCATCGGAGATGCTTTTGGGAATAACTTGTAAGAACCATCGAGGATGGACATACAGTTATGGCCCTTTACCAGTTATAAGTACTTATAACCACATTTATAGATTGTATAATCCCATTTATAACCAATTATAACTAATACATGGCCATAACTGTATTACCTGAACATTCTTGGAATTAACCCTCTGAAAATTGTGGTCTTGCCATAAAAAGAATGGAGAACAACGGTGGAACCCACCATGAAAAACTCTGGAGTAGGTAGCCAGCAAGAGTGGGGAAGCACAAACACAACAGGGATGTAACCAATGTGTTGTGGTCGATTTGTCCATTCAATTCTGGTGGGTTGAATATGCTTAAACTGTCACAAATGACAGTTTAATGTCAAGGATGCATGAGCCGACAATTGTTGGCACTGGGTCAACAGTGGTGGCAAAAGTAGGAACCATAAAAATCAACAGAAACACAATTTTACCTGCCAAAACCTGGGTAGTAAACACGTCAACAACCACCTCGTGAATTCCATGTTTAATCACAATTTTGAATCACAAATGAAGACACAAAATGATACAACTACAAGTGGAAGGGGATTTGTGGGAGCAGTCAAAAACTCCTGGTTGAGACATCTGCAAATTCATGGGATAGGACGCAAACCGTTACATCCTGGTTGGTTGATCAACCCATCCTGGTTGGTTTCCCTAGATATCTGTGGGCTAAAATCTACATGTTTGATGGGTATTTCCACTTCCTGGATTAAAGCAACTATATGAGCTGTGTTCAAAAGGTCCTGTTCTTCTGAAGGCGATAAGGATATGCTTACGCGTCCGCTTGCGCCTTGCTTACGCCACCACAATTTTGGCTTACGCGAGGGATTTGGTTGAATTTGCACTTACGCGGAGCTTACGCTTACAGGTTTTTGCACCCCACCACAGCGCCAGCTTACGCGCAGCAATTTTTACAAGCAGAATGCCATGGTCTTGGAATCTCCGTCAGGCATCAGATGCGGTAGAAGTAGACGAAGACGAGGAAGTAGACGAAGAAGAGGAATCCGTAGGTTCATTCCGCAAGACTCGAAGTTGGCGACGTTTCTTGACAGATGCTTTGCTGAGTGCGCGCGCGTGCGCGGACAATTTTTCTTCAAGCGATCGTTTGGGCAGTGGCATGTTGCTGCTTTTGTGTTTTTTTTGGCTTGCAAACTTGCGAGTGAGTTCTGTTACATCACCTGCTTGAGGGCCAACAGATTCCCAAGCACGAGGCTTGTCATAGTACCCACGGCGCCAAACTTCATTCTCGAGGGGCGTCACAAAGTCAGCAATGGACCAGCCACTCAGGATCTCCGTGGCAGACATGTCACTGAAAACATTGTCCCGAATGGAAACGCCAGACGAAGAATACACACTGGGCTTTGCAGAGAGGCTGTACGTGCGGGTTATCTTGAAGCCAGGGCATTGGAAAGTGTTGCGCGATGAGGGCCGTTTCTCTCCAGGGTCAAAGGTTTTAATGAGGAATTTGGGGCCAGTTGGGTCTTCACGCATCATGCGTTCCGCGCCTCTGGAATACGCATCAACAAGGCTAGGAAGGCCATGGACAGGAGAATGTTGGACGTAAACTGTGAGCCACTCATTTGTCCAGCCAAACAAGCGGTCACAAGCACCTTTTCCATGCTGCTCACCTAGATACAGAACATGGACCTGCAGCTTGAGAGTCTTCACCAGCGTGTAGAGGAAGTGGGCAGCGTTTTCATAGGAACGGAAGTGTGGCCCACAATCGCAAACAAGCCACATTGTGCCAATTCGCATCCAATCGACTAGCGGATGCTGCTTGATGACCCCCAAGATTGTATTTAACATCATGTTGGCAGCTTGCGCATCGTGATCCAAAATTTCTGAAACCAACAGAACATAGAATTCTTTGTGACCTCCTGTTCGAAGTGGGGCAATGATGCTAGCTCCAAAAACAGTCAAGGAAAGCTTGTTCTGCGCATGCCACTCGGCGCCTGTTTCTTCGCGACCTGGGTTGCTATGTTTGCCAAAAGAGATTACGCGAACTACATTAGAAACAGTAAAAGCGTTATACGTAATCCAACCAAGCGTCTTAAAGGATACCGCACATTCTCCTTAAAATCTATTTGCACAAGCAATCCTTCCGGTGGAAGACCTCCATCGCGAAGATTCTGTAAAGACTTCTCTTGTCTTCGGGCTGAAATTTGATGCCATCTGTACGCTTCTAGAAGCTCTATGTGGGACTTAAGGTTGTGAAGGACGCGAGCTTCTTCTTGGTGCAGGTTCAAGCGCACAGGGACAGGCAAAGCCATGCGGGCAGCATTCCTGGATTCATAGAAATTCGTGTTTTCGACAAAGGCGACAAAGCGACATAGCAAAGCAAAGCAATCTTCCTCTTGCAAAGCAGCAGCGGTTTCGGCAGACGCGTCAAAAGTTTGGAAATAGTTTGGCAGCACCGACTCTATGTCTTTCCTGGCTTTGTCTAAGCTTCTTTTCGCATGCGGCAGGAGACTGCGACGCAGGTGCAGGCAGTGTTCACCTGAGCGATTCATTCCGGGATTATAGTTATAGCAAGAAACACAATATCTTTACGCAGCTTCAGGGGTTTAGCGTAGCTTATACTGTTTATCTTTAATGAACATTGCATGGGGGGAAACGGCAAACTGGAAATATTGACACTGCGGACACCTGGTGAGAAAGTAATTGTAATTCAAATAAAATCTTTCGTGGTTTAAAATCCCTGTACCGTACATGCCGCAATTACTTTCTCACCCGGCAGCTTTGCGAAGCGCATGCCCAGAAACAAACGTCAGTCAATCGTTTTGGTGGCTTTACGTGGGGGAAATGCTTTTTCAGCATGCGGTTGAATGTTGGGCTGCTCATCATGTTGTTGATGTCGGGCTCGGCTTTGTATATGACAAACCTCTTCTGGGAAAGATGTCGGGCAAGAACCATTTTGCGCCGTGCACCGCGCCCAACCACAACAATGCGCTCACTGTCTTGCAAGTATTTTTCCAAAACCTTCGCAACCAAAGTCTGCAAGGTAGCATCTGAAACCTTTGTTGGCCTACCTCCTCTGTTGCGAGCGCTCCCAGAAGGTTCATTACGAGCCGATCTGTAACTTGGCCTACCCAGATGGTACCCATAAGTTTCTAGCTGTTCGCGTGAAACATCTAAAGCACACACTGCGCGGTCCAGCTCAGCTACGCTGATAGAAGGCACGGTAATCCTGGAACGTCGGAAAATTTCATCAACAGCAGCGCGAAGATCACCAAGGGAACCCACAAGCTGAGAACAAGCATCTGTCATCCGAGCCAAACCGGGCAAAAAAGGTTCACACTTGGAGAAGACCTTGTCCAGAAGGAGGGTCGCATCAGCCATAGAAGGACAATGTCGTTGCAAAAGGTCAGACATTGTTTGCACAATTTCCCGTTGGCGGCGCGGCATTACTTCAGAGAAGCCTCTTTCTTTGGGAGGCATTGTGGACTACTACTCAGAAAAGGAATGTGGGCTTACGCGGACCTTACGCGCGGCTTACGCGGAGCTTACGCGGATTTCCGGGGTCAACCTGTCCAATTTTAACCTATAATAAGAATCGTAATTATGAAACCCTCCGGGAATTAAACATGGCAATGGAAAATCCTTTAATTATAGAAAGTTTTCCTAGTAGACCGACCCGCTATCTATAAGGGATTTTCCAAGTGCCATGTTTGATTCTAGGAGCGCACCCCATTTCTTTCATAGTGTCTGACGTAAGCCCTCCATGGATCAACTCCTTTGTCGTATAGCTTGAACTTATGAACCCGATCTCTGAATTTAAAACGGCTGCAGATGATAACCCTGTGTTTCAGGAGGTGTTTCTTCAGCATATTTGCGAATATCCTTAGGCTACGTCCTGATTCCACTTCCCGTTAGCTACTTTCAAACGATGGATTTAAGTTTCAGGCATGGGCCCTATAGCAAATTCATCCCCAAAAGTATCTATTCGATCTATTCCCAACAATGTTCTGCAGGACCCCTTTGTCTGCGTAAAAACGAGTGCTTAGGACACTTGTTGAAAGACAGCCCCAAACAGAAAATCGCAATGGCAGAGAGTTGCAGGGATGGACAAGCAAGCATGCCTGAATGATTCAATGCAAGATAGTTCTGTTGGATCTTGCCGCTGCCCGATCATTTTTCTCAGTTTGTCGTCCACAGCATTCCCCGAACCGTGTTCATTGCAAGCTATGCCGTTCTGGCTCTGCTTGACTTCCAACCCTAAGAAAGCATCAAGCCATGTAAAAAGTATCATTTGGACATTCGCTTGAGACGCTTGAGATTTTTGAGGAGTTTTTCGATCTGGTCGATCTGGACTTGCGCGTCGCTATCATCAGGATTGTCAATGGGCTTTGCTTCCAAAGACTGCTCCCGGATAACTTTGCACAAGTCTTTGTCAGCCAACACCACCTCGATAGAACGCTGACCTCGCCCGCGCATGATGCTCTGGCATGTGGGGCAGGCCCGGCCCCGTTGGTCTCGATCCCGCGGCCTTTCACATATAACACATTCCTGGGCCCTCGTCTGGTTGCCACCAAAGTACGGCTTGGCCATCTTGTTGTCTGGTGTTTCCGGGCTTGCGTCACTTCCTGGAGCTGCACGCTTTGGTGCTGAGGTCTGCTTCACAGGGGTTGTGGTCTTTGAACTTCCCTCCACCTGCTGATCCACGACGGCCTTTCCATGCTGAGAGCTTTGGGGCTCCGCCTCGACATCAACTTTGGGAACTGCGGCATCACTCGCTGCGGCGGCACTGATGTCTTCACCTCATCCAGCGCAAAGTTTGGATCCGTAAGCAAATCAAGCCAAGGTGGAATCATTGAATCAAGGGGCTGGCCACCCACAAACAAAAAATACTATGCAGCACAGTGGCTGGGCGTTGTTTCCGATGAATCCGGAGCATTAGGTGCCAGCAAAGCTGCCAGAGTAGGATCAGCGACCATTGTCTGTCCGGAACTGCTCATGGAATTGGACTTGGCCTTGTCCTTCAGGGCCACCTCCGCCAAGGTGCATTCTTCGATTGGCTTCTCCTCAGGGCGCCGGGTCTGCTGGGAGGATCAACCCACTTAGTAATTGGCTCATATAAGGGGAGTTACAAACTGCGTAAAAATTAGAAAAGGTATGAGTAATTCAATGTGGGGACCTATCACCCATTAACCAGCTACTAAGTGGGAAGATCCTCCCATTGGATCCCGCCATGCAGTTCAGTGAATGAATTTACCCTACCATGGCCCGCCCAAACCAAGAAATCCTCTCCTTAGGATGCTCCTTCAAAGTCTTTCCCTTAAGTTGCTCCTTTGCATGGTCATGCTCCTTCAAAGTCTTGCTCAAACAAGTGGTCGTGTGCCAACTGCCACCAAGATAGACGATTTCATGGTGACTGCGGCGCCTTGTGCCTGATGCTGTGTATGAAACATAGCCATCCTCACGTGCGACAATGGCCAAGCCAAGCAACAAAATAAATGATTAGTGATTAGCCTTCCAACCAACATCAGCTTGCGATGGCCCAATTTCATGGGGATGGAAAGCTGGTGCAAACCAATTCTCGCACATTTTTGTGGGAAATAACCGAAACATTTGCCATATCTATAGAACATTGCAATTATTATTTGGGGGCTTGTAGGGATCAGAGCTTTTCTATATGGTTTTGTGAAACTTGCCCGCACTAAAATGGACAATTTTTTCCTCCACCAAGCTTCACATGAGCCAACCCACACGCCATGTTTGGAATGAACAGTAGGCACCCCCATCTTACCGCAACATCCTCTAGCATGGCACTCCGTAGGCCAATTTGGTGGGCACTCCGGCTCTTTGGCCATGATTGATCAAGAAAATGGCTCGAGACGCCACGATTCCACCAACCCAAAAGGCAGCCCGATCACTCATGCGAATTACTTGGCAAACCTTTCGTGCGATATGTCATGGACGCGAGTAATGACCAGTCCCAGCCAATCAGTTTTTAGTATTAAGATGATAAGATGAACCCTCAAATGGGATCTTGACCCCAAAAATTGTTTTCTAAATGCGATCAATTAAAGATCAAATTGACCAACCTGAAATTTCATTCAGACGTGTTTTATAACGTGTCGGAAGTCGTTTTGTGCGGCAGGCGCAATACTTTTGCGACGTTTTCCGAAGATGCGTGGCAGTTTTCGTGGCAGGCGCAGCACTTTGGACGTGTCCATCGTCATTTTGCGTGGCAGGCGCAGCACTTTAGACGTGTCGTGTCGCGTGTTTTTTGCAAATCGCATTGGCAGGGCTGCGTCAAGTGGCGACAAGGTGCAAATTCCGTGGCGGGCGTGGCATTTTGTGACATGCTTGGATGGGCTGTGGTCTTGCTAGTGGGTTATGAGCTTTATCTTACTTGGCTAAGCACTTGCTAAGTCTTTATAAATATTTAACATATATTTAACTTACATACTTTTCCAATGTGAAATATGATACAAAAAAGTATGTTTTGCAGAAAGGGAAATTTGTTCATGGGGACATTGTGTCAATTTTTAAAATCATTTTGGCTGCATGTTTTCCATCAAAACAAAATGTGTTTTTTTGATTTTCTTTTTTTTTGCCAATGCAGCTTTGATTTTATTTTTTGATTTTGCTGTGATCAGGCACAGCACCTGCAACTTGTTCCAGAACTAATAGCTATGTCAAGCTTGTGCACACTAGCCATAGGAGGCTTGCTCACACCAGCCATTGAAGGCTTGCACACACTAGCCACACAAGGCTTGCCAATGAAAAACCAACTAGCCATTGTTGGCTTGCAAACCTTTTTCCTCCAAGTTGTTTTTCATCGCAGGTGGTAAGGGATCAAAGTTAAATACCCTGCTTGGCATTGTGAATAGATCACAGCTGCCAATATATGAGCAGCTGGCACTGTCACCCATTGGTCAGTGGAATGCCACAGGGCTTTGCCACTCTTGGAATCATAGGTCTGAAGCACAAAGCATTTCAACAAAGACCAAGTCTCTCTACCAATTGCAAAATTCAAAAGCATTTGTCCAGCTTCCCATTTGGTACCACTGGATAAAAGCACTACATCATTGACACTGGCAACACCTCCGCCAAGCAAGACAATACACTTGCTGGAAAAAATGTCATTGCTTCGAAGCCCCAAATACTCATGCAACCAAGCTACCAATTTCTTTGGTGCCAGATGTTTCTTTTCCAGTGAAGCTTCTTCTTTCTGCCATTGGGATATGTGGTGCAATTGCTGGGATAGCACTTCAACCAGCAAGCCTTCTTCAAAGTTCTTCAAGTTTTGGACCCTTGTAGCTAGCAGAGTAATGTCCTTGTGTTTTCTCTCCATTGTCCAACAAGGCAACAGCATTTCGTGGGCTTCCAGCTCGCCACCATAATGAAGCATCCAGTGGAATTTTTTGATGTAAAAATTCCCCCACTTTGCCAGTTTAACAGATGCCAAAACATTTTCAGCTGCAGTGTCCAAAACCAAACCATTGACACCACCAATAGAAGTTGCAAGCAAAAGGTCCATCATGTGGCACAGGTTGAGAAAAGCTTGTGTTGCTGCACTTTTGCCACCTTTGTTTTCAATCATCTGCACATGGTGCTGTAAAATTGGATACAAACACAACACTTCACTTGCAGTGACTTTCAATTTCCCAGCTTTCCTGTATGATTCCACTTTGGCAGATGTAAACAAAGAAGATAAAGCACCTACCTTGTGCAAAGCCTGTGGGAAGTGCCACATGCTGATCATGTCCTGCATGGCACTCCAAGCTGGCAGCCCTTCAGATTGCAAATGCTCCAGAACCAAAAACATACCAATGTTCAAGCAGCCATTGGAAGACGTGCCATGCATGTAGTCATGAACATATTGCGAACATGGTTGCAGCCAATTTCTCAAGCATGGGGAAGCCAAAATACCTTCATGTGAAAAAGTCCAACCAGTGCATTGCTCCCACTGCTGAAACTCTTGAGGGGTGCAAACACCCTTCTTGGCACTGAGGCGGTCAAAGCTCTTCAAAAAGCTTCTTCATCAGCTGTTAAAACCATGTCCTTTTTGCAAATGGTCTTGAGCACTGCCTTCTCCTCATCCTCCTCAGCTTCTAAAAGGAACACAATTTGATCACAACATTTCAAGCAATAATTGCTGCCTGAATCACCCTTGAGTCCAAAAGTGACTGAGAAGCACCATCCTGCACAAAGAAGCCAATTTGAAAATGCAATCTGATGAGTTCACCGCCAGGACCATGTAGAAGAACACCTACCAAAGGTGAAGCTACATTGTTGCTAAATATGTGTTCCAAAAGAACCTTCATCACTTGACCCATGTGACCTTCCAAGGTGGCCACAATGGAGCTCCTGACAATGCCCAAAACCAGCCAATGCTGAGTATGGCTCAAAGCTTGCCGACCAAATTCCTTGAAAGCAGCATAGACAACCCAAACCTTCTTTGCAGCTCTCCCCAAAGCATTGGCAGGGAGGCATTCATCACTGTAAAGAATCAGGTTCCCAGGAGTGTCTACTCCAGTAGGTTTACCAGCCAAGGATGAAAGCAAACACTGGGAAAAACTACCTTTCACTTTGCATCCAGCACTCAATGCAGTGTAAAAATTCACCATGGGGAGAGAGACAGTACCTCCATCGCTCTTCAGAAAGTTTTTGTGAAAAATAGCAGGCCCATAGGTTGCTGAAGCTTTGAGCTGTTGCTCAGCTGCTTCTCTCATTTGCTTGCGATTATTGAGTTCTGGCAGCCCATGCTCAGCAATATGGTCCAGTATTGCTGCCAAAGAACTTTTGCTGCAAGAGGGGACAGCTTTTCTCAGCACATTAAGTCTCTGCAGTTTAGCTTCTCTTTCACACATGGCAGTAGCAAAAGCAAAAAGTATGCAATTCAAACAGGTTAGACATTACATGCAAGGCTGCTTGCTTTGTTTTTTTGCAAGGTGGCACATTCAATCTTCTTCTGCAAAACATATGACATTTGAGGTATTGCGTGTTGCATTGCTAATGGAATTGTGTGATTTATCAACACCCTGGTCATCACTGGGCCTGGAGCCACTGTCAAGCCATTCACCAAACAATCTGTGTTGTGTTTTTGGTTTTGCTGGAACATGGCAAAGCAACTAGCCACTGGGACTTGGAAGACAAGAGGTTAGAAGAGCACTATAGTTGAGCCACCTGTGCTTGCAAAGGTACAGCCATTTAGGCTTGACAAAACACTTCTCACCAGCCATAGCAGGCTTGCAGTCCCTTTTCTTTTTGCCATTGTTGGAGGAAATCTTATTGCTTGCTAACAGCTCATCTTCAGTGATTTGCACTGGTGGCTGCTGCAGGAACCCAGAAAGCAAAAGCACTAAAGTGTGCCTTTGGCACCCCACATTCAAACCTAGCCACTGCCATTTCACTTCTTGTTGTTTTGCTTGGCCCATTCCTTCCATTCTTCTCTGGAGGAGAATCTCTTCCCAGTGAAAGTGTCATCCCAGCACTGAGTACATCCTTTCACATTTCCACGACATCTTGTGCACCCATAGATTTTGTTGACTCTCTGGACACTGGCTCGTGTCAAAGCAGTACTTGAGGAAGCTGCTGGGCGTTTCAACACTTTCTTTTTGTTTCTATTCTTGCTTGCAGGCTGTGACTTAGCCTTGGCATTGCTCCTTTTCTTTTGCAAAGCTTCCCAAGCTTTGGTCTCAATGTCCTCCAATGAAGGTTTGTCATTGGCCTTGGTCTCCACAGCCTCAGCAGCAGGTGTGCCATTTTGCAATGGCAAAGGTCCAGCATGGTCAGGTCTGGACCCAGCACTGGGCTGCACAGGCCATCCAGACAGACCTGACATGGCCTGCTGACCAGTATTCTGCAAAGGCAGTGGGTTCATTCTGCTGTGTTGCATGTTCTGCAACTTTTCTTGGTCCTGCTTGGAGTCCCATTTCTCCATGAAGTCATTGAGCTTGCTCATCAAAGGATCTGCAGGCTCCTTCTTGGCATTCCCCTTCTGAAGGTGCTTGCAGTGAGCTGGTGCTTCAGCCCAAAGCAAACTCGAAGTGGACCTCAGTGGAATCTTTGGGTAGAAGGTGGCCACAGAAAGGTCAGACATTGAAGGCTCTTCATTTCCATAGGCCTTCTTCAACCAATCCTTTGCCAATTGGCTTGGGCTGCTAGGGTACATTTTCAACCCAGGAACTGACTGACCAACCTCAGTATGGTTGAAAACCTGAGCCAAGTCCACAACCATTCCATAGATGGTCCAAGCACAAGGCAATGGGTTCTTGTGCACAGTCACATGCAAGTGCAGAAGTGTGGCCACTGCAGTCTTCTTTGTCTCTTCCTTCATGGACTTGATGCCCAATTTCTTCATTCTTTCAGACATGATTCTCATGGCATCCAAAACGTGACATTGAGACAAAGCCTTCCAGTCAGCAGTGGTGAGGTAAGGAGGCAAGCAGTGCAGAGAGGAAGCTTTGGTTTCCAGTTGCAGGTTGCTCTCTGTGGACACTGACAAGCTATCCATTGTCTGCAAAATATCACCCTTGATATTTTGAGGCAACTCAGCAGCTTCCACTTTGTCGTAGAGGGCAGACAATGCGCTAGCATTCATGTCAGTAACATTGGTGAGCCTCTGCTTCAAAGAAACCAAGCCAGCTTCTCCCATTTGAGAGTTGGGCCGCTTCACCAAGAGGTTGGCAACATGCTGAAGCTCATGGCAAAAGTCTTCAGCAGTCCACTTGTGAGCCATTGCCACTTACTAGGCCTGCTGCTTGCTAGGTTTGAACCAGTCTGCCATTAGGAAAAGAACAGGTGTATAGAATTTACATGTTTGAGAACATGTCATGACAGTCATCTAGCCAGGAAGGCTTGA